AATAGATCTAAACTCCCCCCCCCCCGAAGTTCTTGAAAGCAAATATTGAATCAATTATTTCAATATAAATAAATGCTTACAAAATCACGTTATTAAAAAGAATCACACTTTCAGTCAACCATAGAAATATACCATGAAAATTATAGTCATCATTTAAAACAGTAGGAATATAAATACCCATCTTTTTTTTATTTACACATGTATCATCATGTATGACCTTATGAAATAATTCATTTAAACAATATTATATATATATATATATACTTATGTAAATAATAGTTAATATTTATCACAGGTTCATATTGAAACATCTTCAATATTTACCGATCTTGAAATTAAAAAAAAAAAAGAAAGTGTAATTCTAAAGCATGTGCTTGAATGTGTTTCTTTTCCCTTCGCTTTTTTTCTTTTTTTTCGAGAGGAGTGTGTGTGTGGGGGGGTGGAGTATAAAAAGGGAGAAATATACATAGTGAATCAGTTCAAATTGGACAATATTTTTTCTTTAAATGATACTTTACATATGATTTTCTAACAGATAATCACCACCATCATGATCAAAATTTCTATCATTTCACTCAATAGTCATCTACAAATAATCATTTATTTTTATTACAAATAAAAAAAATAATAATCAAATTGAATGAAGGTTATGAATCAACAAACAAATCATTTTGTAAATATATCTAACTGTGAAATAAACCTGTATTTACATAAGTTTGTTTAGTTGTAAATGTCTAGGATAATGAACTGAACAAGAAATAAAGTAAAATATTTATGAGCAACCTTGTAAAATCTAATGTTGCTTAACGTTACTTATCAGTAGACTGTACTAACATTAGAACTGATGATCTTAGCGTTGATTATTATTATTTTTTAAATGACTCTCAAGCTGTTGTAATCCATCTTCATTTGTTCAGTAAATCTATAATTTTGATAATCCAGAGAATAACAGATTTCTTTCGTTAAACTGTAATCTACCCAGATAAGCAATAGGATCTGAATCTATAGGTCAACAAACAAACCACTATGATTGTAAGTAAATCTAGATTGTAAGAAATCGAAATATGACTGGCTTATATTAAATACTGTGAGTTCATAGTCAGTCGAAATAACAAGGTATCTACAAAATCAGTGCACCTGTAAATGTTATCCTATGATTTAAATGTATATATTTAGTTATAAGAGAATATTTTGCAGTTCAATCTTTATAAATTTCCATTGAACTGTTTACGAGAAAAAAATCATCAGTTATCTGTTGCAAGATCAAGTTTATAATTCCAAATTCCTTTTCAAAAGACTAATAGTCCTATTTCAGATTTTTTAGAAATTAATTTTCAAAACTGGTTTGAGTGATCTTATTCTTAATTTGTAACTATTCCATGGACTGATGAGGATTAGCGGGTAGTATAATGAACTAGAAAAAATTTACCAATAAGAATGGATCGAAAAACCGGAAAGCTCAGCCACTAAGTATATTAATTAACTTGACCATCGACGACTCTATGGAATAGCAGTTCAGCTATCAAAATAGGCAACTAAATATATCTTTTTACAAAGTCATATTTTAGTTAATTTGGTATTTAGCTGGCATAGCAACCCCGGATGTTCATTTCGTTCTTTTTGAGGATTAATTTTACTACTTGCTTTCTTCATATCAAACATTCTAGAAACATAACTAAAGGTTGTATCGAACCAATTCACTGAGGATGATAACAAAGACTGACGAATATGAATATCAATAACAGAAATTTACAAGACCATACTAGTGAATCTGTATTTGTTCAGTGTTAAATATGTTATGATTGACAAAAATGGAAAATCGCTGCTTAATTTCTGATCTTCAATTTTATCAATCTTATATATTATCCGAAAATTAATTCACTTATACTATTCTGGTTAATTAATCTTTAAATTAACGACAGTTTTGACTGTTTAACATATTCAAATAGTTGACCAGTTGTCATATATTGTAAATTTCACTCGGTTTGGGTTTATTTATCGGTTAGTAACTGAAATCATCAGCTTGATCATTTAAGTATCTTATTAAATCAACTGATCCTTTATAGTAATGTATTAGCAAGAAATTATTTTATTCACTGAAGCATGTAATTTTAAAAGATGTTGTGATCTGTGCTTCTGGTGTCGATAGATATAATTAGGATGTATCACCAATCGAAAGTGAAATACTTGGCTTCAGAAGGTTAAGGTCAAAGAAAAAAGAACGAGAACAGAGAATAATTTTTGTGGAAGTGGAGAAACAATGAAGTCTGAGACGATTGACTGGTATATTGCAAATGAAGTATTTACTGTACGGTTCTCAGATTTTACTAAGACATTCTATAATTTATGTGTTTAAATACATTCGATTGTCCACACTTTTGTTATCGTTCACTACAATAGTTTTAAATCAATCTATCTGTCTAAAGAATAAATTTAACTTTTTTGGTTATAAGTCACTACATTTAAACTATGCTGGTGAATTTCTCGGGACACAATCAAATAAAACAATAAAATCGTCTTGACAAATAAATGATAAGATTAATTTTTCATGTATTTAAAGCAGATTAAGACATGTTAAGCTAAACAGCATAAGAAGCATAATTCTATTTTAAACTATACTTATCAAGAATTCTTAAAATTACAAATAATTTTATCTGCAATCTATTAACCGTTAAAGTAATTCCTTAATATTCAAAAGTAAAGTTGGATTATGTACGGTTCATATTGTGAAGTCATCATTTCTTTTAGTCACCAAAGGAGTCTTCAGTGGTCCATAAGAATATTCAATCAAAATACTGATAAAAATGGTGGAGTGTATCAGTATATAGTATAAAAAGTAAAGACAATTATGTTGTCAGGCGCTTGATTATTAAACTTATTTATTTTAACATTGAAATTTTTAAAAAAAAAGTATTTCACTCATATTTTCAAATCAATCGATTTTAAACAAATGATTATAATCAATTGAAGATGTATTATTCCCTTCTAATCAAGTACATATTTATTGTGAAGTTTAGAAGTATTACCATGTCTGATAAATGTTATTATTTATTTTGTAATTGATTACTATTATTATTATCATAAGACTTGAGATCATATTGTTACTCTCAGCAATTTACGACAAAATTATCGAAAATAAACTTTCATACGCATAGAGATGGCACATTATCAGTCTATTTTATCTAACAGTCAAGTTAAATTAGTTATATCTTTTCACTGACATGACCGACAATAATTAAAGTTACTAGTCAAGTTTGATTATCATTGGTTAATGAGCAATTTGAAAAGAAAAATTAAATTACAAAGGTACCACTGTTTTATTACTTTTAGTCATGTTTATTTTCTGTTATTTATTTTGTCCATAAATTGTTTCAATAGCAAATGTACTACTGTTTACAATAATAACTATATATATATATATATATATATATATATATATATATATATATATATATATATATATATATATATATATATATATATATAGGAATTAAATAGTGAAGGATTCATGGAATTAAACAGTGATAAGACAGGTTACGTAATAACTGAATAGAGTTTGAGAAGTTAACAATTTAAGAGGGTAAGTGGGCGGAAATGTGTGAATGAAAAGTTGGTTTAATAATTCGGTAATGGGGAAGGAATATAACACAAAATAAATATATTAAGAATAAATAAATGAATATAATTACGCAAATAACCAAAAAACAATAAAAATTAAATAAAAATGGATTACCAGGGTAATAATAAGTTTACTACTGTCTTTTTTTGAATAGATAAATCCGGTCTAAGTGTTTTCGTCGCGATCGCCTCAGCAAAACGGAGAGCAGTCGTATTTCTTTGTCTGCTGATAATTTTAAAATCGTGCGGAATGTCGATGGTATGCCCGGTGTCAAGTAAATGCCGAGCTATTGCACTGTTGAGAGCCCTAGTCCGTCGCAGCCTTGAGTTTTTTGGAACATGCTCAGAAATGCGAACATGTACTCTCCTCTCAGTTCTTCCAATGTATGTGCTATGGCACGCACATGTGATTTGGTAAATGCAGTTGGAGCTACTGAGAAAAGAGGACTTGTCGACTATAGTTTGTTTGAGTGAGCAGTTCGTTTCCAATAATGTCATCAATTTAGCTGCTGGGTAGGTCATATATATATATAGTTATTATTGTAAACCTTTGTCATCCCAATCATTTACACTCATTTATGTCAATTGTTTCACACTATTTCTTATCTCAATGTAAAATTCTATTACATATTTGGTTGTAAGCAGCTGACAAGAAACCTCGAAATATTATGAATTCATACTATTCTGCATCAATATTCGTTCTTACTACCTTTCAGTTATACCTCGTGTTTTATCACTATTTAACTGTAAACTTATCACCAATAATTTGACCTTTCATAAGTATTCATAATTGGATTATATTTTACTTTAATCTAAACAATTGGTCTCGTTAGCATAAGCATAAATTATTTTCGCTCTGTAGCAGCCCCCCACCTTCAAAATAATTTTGTCACTGTAAGCCATCATCTCGAACTTTTCTGGTTTTTTTTATGCGAACTGTCGATTATTTTGTAAGATTAATTTAGGAGTACTAGCATTAATTGTTAAGTAAACTATGTAACAAGATATTCAAGTTCTTGTCAAGACAACTCAAAGTAACTAATAAAGTTATTGAAACTAATGTAACGGTCGAACTACTGACAGTTTATACATTAAACCTATTCATGATCCTCAAACTAAGTCGTTAAGACGTAAATTATATGCTCAAATAACTGAGTACATTATGAAATTTATAATCTTAATAACAAAAACTTCTGGAAAACTGTTTTTCACAATATCCTTTGGAACTACGCACTCACCATTCAACACAGAATCTTTACAACCATTCTCATAAGATAACAATTAACACAACATAGGGAAGTTGTAATGCTTTTTTTTAAAGAATTATCAATACTCAGATTAGTTTACATGTGATCTGTAAATAATTTACATTATTTTATGTACAGCATGAAATTCAGTTGGATTATTATTCTTATTATTATATAAAATTTACATTAGTGGGAAACAATGATGTCAGCTAAATGCATCAAGAAAGGATACATATGGAAAAATACTCATTGATACATAAAGTAAAGAAAAATAGTTCAGCATAGCGTATTCTCCCTGATGTATGAATTCAAACTCAAAGCAGTACAATCGAAGTTATTTACTTTGTTCTCATAACGATAACAAACATTATAGTTTCTATTCATTCACTTATTGTGATAACAGAGAATCTAAGCAAACAGAGGCACAGAATAAATGTTAGTTTTCAATAAGAAAATGAAAATTTAATTGTCAAAACCTTGATTATCCATCAAGAAGTTTGACATAATAAATATGAAAAAAGGATGTTTGTATAACATAAGATAAAATGAGGAAATAAAAATGAATCATAATCAGAAAGAGTTTATGACCAGTAACAAATTAGTGAGAGGGCATAAATACAATACAGGAAGAGAAGGAAAAAGCATAGTGACCTAGAAAAACTCAAAATATATTATAGAAATAAGAAATCAAGCTAGAAGTGCTTCAACTGAAAAAGGATTAATTTGTTTACTGGAAGTACTTTTATTTGACAATGAATTTGAATAATGAATTGCTTCATTAGTAGTATTAGTAGCTGTAGTCGTTATTACATTTGTATCATTAATTATTAAGTGATTATTCATAGAATCATTGAATTGTATATTTGAAACATTGTATACTTGTTCGTAGTGCATCTTCTCATCACATGATATTCTATAATGTTTACTTGTTTTAAACACATTATTGATATGTTCTGAATAAATGGATAACTGTTGTCGATCTAATTCAGATGATGAAGAATTTTGTTTTAATAAACAAGTTATATGATCATTAGTTGAATAATTGGAACTTTTAATTGAATTTTGTAGTTTATCATTATTCATCCGTTTATTAGTGATTATTCTTGTCTGGCGTGTATTTTTATGATTATTATCTATTCGTGGTTTATGCCAACGTTGATGTGATGCTAAATTTGCTGGACAATTGAATACCTGTATAAGATATAAATACAAGATAATGTATATAACTGTATGGAAAGGGAATTACACTATACCAATAAGTTTGTAGAAATGAAAGAAAATAAATAAGAAAAGAAGGTTTCCCCCCTTATTCATATGAGATGGAATTAATCAATCAATTCTTTTTAGGTATATTGTAAGAGACAAAATAATCTTCATTTCAACTGTAAAGTATCAAAAATGGCATTTACTGTGGACAGAAATTACGTAAGTAAATTAACTATGGCTTAATTATTTGATTAGCTAAAAACACTATCATAATACAGAATTACGTTCTCATTATATACAATGAAAGCGGTTAGAACTCGGAATTTATCAATCAATTACATAAATTATTCATTGTAACAATGAACACAATCTAATTACTTGGCTTCATAGACATATATAAAATTAATTTTTATCAAGGACTAATATCACTTAAAGAATAATCCAAAACTCACCTTAGATCATTTATTAATGTAAACCTAAGGTTCTAGATTAGGTCAAACTCATTCAGTTGTGATCATAGAGTGTACATGGCACTTTTGAAGCACTCATCATCTGGTAGCACATATGTGAGAATTCAATCAATATATGATGTCGAACGATCTTTAAGCAATGTTTCCGATAAGTTATTGTCTACATTGGTTTGTTGACCCCAAAAGTCACAGTATATCATAAAAGATTCTAAATATCCATTTCAATATAAGTAAATAGTCAGTATATATTTATTATTTGATTAGGTCTATTGTCGAGACGTCTGTTTTTTTCATCTGATATTAGTAAGTGGCAAATATTATCTTTAGACAAATATTCTCCTATTGATTTATGTACTGATAACGATTTGTAATGAATAGAAAGTGTCTAAGTATAATAATAGCAACTGAAAAATAGATATTAATTTGTATTGCAGGTCGTTCAACACATAGAGTCAAAACCTTTTAAATTGAAAAACGGTTCAAATTATAAACTACTGGCTGAAAACTAAGTATCTCTGCCACTAACCTTTAGTTGAACTACAAACTCAGATATCAACATACATAGCGTAGTTATCAAAACATATATCCACTTTAACTGAGTAGTTTGTTTGGTGTCATTCGACATATAACCTATGAATAAAAGTAGTATCTTTGAATGAAATTGAATGGTTTTATAATTGGGTGTTTACTATCTGGCCTAATAGTATAGTTCTTACTATTAATTGATAAATTACAAAAGTGTTTAATGATTAGAATAATAATAATAATTACTTACTTTACCACAAATTTCACATGCATATGCTAAACTTGCCATACATGAACATGGATGTTCGGCTAAACAAAATGCATCTGGAAACCATTGAAAACATAATTGACAAATATATTCACCAATATGATTTGGTATTTCAGCTAACATTTTGACTGCTTTTTCTGTACGAATTACTGTAAAAATATTCTTATTTGTATTATTATTATTATTACTATTATTACTGTTATTTTTGTTTGTATAAAATTGATTGAATTCAGTTAATTTATCATTCGTATTCATCTGTGACAATTCACGTGGTATAATATAAACACCATTAACTGGTGATGTTAAATGTTCATTAGATTTTAATTTCACTTTCGTTTTTGGCATTTGAGTTAAACGTTTAGATGAATCTGTGAGCATATATTGACTAGTTTGAATATTAGACATAGAAATACTAATTTTCTCTATTATCAATCATTGTAATATCCATACTCTTTAGGGATCTATGTTTTTTTATAGTTTAGATAAAAACCATGTTTTACCATAGAAATCATTCCTGTGTTGTAACTCATTTTGATATGGTATAGTATTCAATGTTTCATGAGATTTTAAACGAAAGTTCTACAATAATTAAGTCAAATACAAACAAGAAGAGTGAATACCAAAAGATCTTTTTTTTTCAAAAAAAGGGACGGAATATTGATATATATTATAGGATCGAAAGAGTTGAATAATTTACTTCATAAACAATGATAGGTGATGAGAAAAAGTTGAAAATTACTTGGATTGGATAATTCAACAATCATTGTCAATGAGTTTTCCTATACATACCTCTCATTGCTATTATTGAGTGATCTATTTTCATAATAATAAAGTAATCCGATAGGTGGTCAAGTAAAATTCTAATAGAATGCGATGTTTCAACATGCCTACTTCTTCGCAGTAAGTAAAAATAAATAAATTATATTAAGGTTAGATTGGATAAAAAGTGGGTTGGAGTAAAAATTGATTAAACAAAGGTTCACAAAAATCAGGGGGATAGACTATTAACATAAGTGATGATAAATTGTCATGACATGTGGTCTATTTTTTCCTCTGTATAATAAAACTTGAATTTAAATCCTCAAGGGGATCAGGTTAAAAAATAAATAAATAAAATTCCAATTTATATACTAAAACTCAAAATTACAATAACATATCTGAAGGAAATTATTAACCATAAATTTGGGTCAACTGAATGCATGTCAGTTATTAGGATCTATTGAAGCGGATATCTCTTTTGATTCGGAACTAATATATATATTTCATTATCTTTCTTACTATGCACAATTTAGAATGTAAAATAAACTTTCTTTATATTATCCATGAGCGTTAATTTCAGTAACATTTGAGTCAATTTCAACTGGTCGATTAGTAATTTGTCGAAATTTTCAAAAGTAGGTTAACGTTAAAGGCCTAGTTAGATCCAGAAAAGTTGAAATTATTGAAAATAATGGACGTAATAACTTATTATTAAATCAAATAATGATTTAATGAAGTAGCTTGTTAAATAGTTTGTAATAACTACTGACTAATGTTTTTATGAACTGATATCAGTTAAAATTATTAAAATCATGGTTCAAGTTAGCTCTTTATTACAGTTTGACTATGATGTATTATGCAAATGGTTATGTTCTAACTAGATGACTGAATGTTGACATGTTTTCAACAAACTCTAATGATTTTCTAGTACAGTTCTTGTGAGATCATTAACTCTGACATCAGAAAAGTCATTATTTAGCACGAAACAACTGTTCAGTGTATTTTTTTAATTTTCAGTCATTCTTTAGCTAAAGTCAGTCAGGCATAAGAACTAACTTAAAACAATTTATGATTATCAAGAAATCAAAGTACATAAGTCAATTTGTTATCAATAGTCAAACATATAAATTCTTATTCATGCATTACTGACTAACTCAATCGATGAACATACACTTTTAATAGCCAAACAATTATCTAACAACTACTAATAATTAACACACCCTCAGTTCCATAATTTTCTACTATTTATTAAGAAACTCAACAGTATTATCCCTTATTTCATTGAGGACCAACTAAATACTAACAAAATTGTATTCACTAGTATAGGGGTTGTGGAGAATATTAGGTTTTTGATTGAGATCATGTTAGATCATGTTAAACACTATCACCATTGGATGCCAGCTCAGTGGCCCAGTAGTTTAAGCGTTCGCGCGCGAGACCGAAGGTCCTGGATTTGAATCTCGTGAGCGGGATCGCGGATGCGCACTGCTGAGGAGTCCCACAATAGGATGAGAAGGCCGTCCAGTGCTTCCAGGTTTCCAAATGTGGTTTAACATCAATCGGTTCATGATCTCAATCAAAAAATTGTATACTGTAGATGAAAAGTAATCAATAACATCAAGTGAATGATACATTGTTTTGTTTCCTATTTACAAGCCTGTAGGGATGAATTAGAAAAAAAATCTTATTTTATTATTTTATCAAACTTACAAAACAGGAAATCTGTTCATTAATTTCAATAAACTACATAAATAATTTTCTGTTGCTCTTTTTAAGTAAACAGCAAATAATTCAACTCTATATCAAACATCATTACATATCAAAATCAATAATGCATTAGTAACAACTGAGCCATATCAATAATAATGATTATCATTCTTGTCACTGTAATTGTAACAGTAAACGGAAAGCGATAGATATTGAATATTATGATTGAAATAATTTGTTTTGGAAAATAAGTTGCGTTTTTCTTCTGTTAGATGGTAATCCATCCTCATCTATGCGGTTTTACATTATATACATTATATAAAAAAAGAAATCAGAGTAAAACTGATTGATCACTTTAATTCTTTTAAGTTTTAGAATAAAATCAATTACAAAGAATTTTAATGATTGATAAATCTCTTAAAATAACTAAGTAGAGTAACATGAATCAATTGGATATAATGATATAGATAATAATGAGTTAGAACTTACTTACTTCCGACTGTTACTCCCAATGGAGCATAGGTCACCGACCAGCATTCTCCAACCCACTCTGTCGTGGGCCTTCTTTTCTAGTTCCATCCAATTCTTGTTCATTTTTCTCATGTCTATCTCCATTTCCCGGCGTAATGTGTTCTTTAGTCTTCCTCTTTTCCTTTGGCCTTGAGGATTCCATGTGAGGGCTTGTCTTGTGACGCAGTTGGGTGCTTTCCTCAATGTGTGTCCTATCCACTTCCAGCGCTTCTTCCTGATTTCTTCCTCCACTGGGATCTGGTTTGTTCTCTCTCACAGTACGTTGTTGCTAATAGTGTCCGGCCAATGAATCTGAAGTATTTTGCGTAGACAATTGTTAATAAACACCTGTATTTTCTGGATGATGGCTTTCGTTGTTCTCCAGGTTTCTGCCCCATACAGTAGAACTGGATGTTTTCTTTTTGGGTGAATGTAATTGTTGATTAATAGAATAGTTAAACTATATGGATGTGACAAAATAAAGAAAAAAATATATCCAATAATTATTTGTTTTGGTAGTGTTCCACTAGACAACTATATTCTATCAAAATTTATTTATGAATTTAAGATGTATATAGTAGACAAGCAGGAAACTAATCAATAAAGTAACAAAAGAAATTATTGATCATAAAATGTTTCATTTCAATTAATTAATAAGGTGGGTTTTGTGGATATTATAGTAATTTCAATGGTTAAGATCATTAGTCAGCTGAAGCTAGACCACCATCGAAAACCTAGAAGCACTAGACGGCTTTTTTGTCCTATTGTGGGACTCCTCAGCAGTGCGCATCCACGAAATCGCCCCCTGCGAGATTCGAACCTGGGACCTACTGGTTTCGCACGCGAGTACCTAACCACTGCTGAGGAGTCCCACAATAGAACAAAACGGCCGTCCAATGCTTCCAGGCTTTCCATGGTGGTCTAGCTTCAACTGACTCATGATCCTAACCATTGTAATTAATAAGAGTTTACTGTTTTATTAGTTCACAAAATATGATTAATACAAATGAGTTACATAATGGCAATTTTAAAATCTAATTTTGTAATATAATTTTTAAAAAAATATAGATTGAAGAGAAATTTAATGAAATCCCTTCATTGCATGTTTTTACCAACCATAATGAAGCAATTAAATCAGGTAATGAAATCTTATTACATTGTCTTATCATAATGATATCAAATAAACTACGTGATAGTTTGCACTATGATATATGAATGATTATTGTATGATTTAGTGAAGTTAATGTTTACATAATTACTATTTTAAAACTGAGAATAGATTCTGGATTGTCTGATATAGCAACAAAAGATCATAGAGCTAAAATAATTCATCGACTATGTAATGATGTAATTCAAAAATAACTTTTAACTATCCTTTAGTAAAAGTAAATGTCAAAAAAAATTGACGAAAAAAAAACAACAAAAGAATGAAATATTTCAATGAATATTTGCAGCTAATATTCCATTCTATTTAAGGAAATAATAATTAGTTCAATTCAGTATATATTACTATTGTTTCTAATATCATTACAGATTAGTTTCATTATGATATTTAGGTGATTAGACTGAAAAGTTTGTGATGTTTTCTTTTTACTTACTTACTCACTTACGCCTGTTACTCCCAATGGAGCATAGGCCGCCGACCAGCATTCTCTAACCCACTCTGTCCTGGGCCTTCTTTTCTAGTTCCATCCAATTTTTGTTCATTTTTCTCATGTCCATCTCCATTTCCCGGTGTTCTTTGGTCTTCCTCTTATCCTTTGGCCTTCAGGATTCCATGTGATGGCTTGCCTTGTGAGGTAGTTAAGTGCTTTCTTGAGTGTGTGTCCTATAGACTTCTAGCGTTTCTTCCTCATTTCTTTCTCCTCTGTGATCTGGTTTGTTCTCTCCCACAGTAGGTTGTTTCTGATGCTGTCTGGCCAACGGATCCGAAGTATTTTATGTAGACAACTGTTAATAAACATTAGTGATTCAAAACGTCTGCTATATGCCGTCTTTTTCACTTCGCTTCATAATATTATGTAAAGATGTTTAATTCTTTAGCACATTTAATACCTATTTTATATTATAATGTACTTAATTATTTTATTTCGTTTCACTGAAACTCTATCATGAACTAAAATATTGTTTTTTTCTTTATTTAGCCATTAAAAATAGTGTGAGCAAACACTTCCTCGATCACAAAAATCAAATACATGAACTTATTGTACAGTATAGAAACCATAGCTTAATATTTACAGACACTTCAGTAAATATATTTCATGATTGCAAACATAGTCATCATTTTGGTCAACTTCTTATCTTTATTGAATATTTGCTGAAGTAAATGATAATAATTCATTTGTAAATGAGATTTAAGTTTTTAATAGTGATGAATTCTCTGAGCTAGTTCCAAAATTCATAAATCGTGGGAAATCTGAGAATTTAAA